GCTCTCGTCCCTCCCCGGAGGCGCTCCCCCGCGGTGCGCGGGAGATCTGCGCAGGGGACCCACGTGCGGGGGAAGCTGGGAGGCCGGGGAGCCGCTCGGGGCGGGGGCGCTCGGGCCTAGGGGGCCGCGTGCGAGCCCTCACCCCTGCCCCCCCCCACGACTTCGGGAGGGGGGAGGGCGGGGTGCACGCTGTTGTGCGGGAGCTCTCTCGAGCCAGGGGAACCCCCCCCCCCTCCCCCGCAGGAGTCGCGGGGGGGGCAGGGGCAGGGCTCGCACGTGGCCCCCCTCTCTATCGGGGAAGCCTGGGAAGTGGCCGGCGTGCCGCGCCGCAGCGTGGTTTGGGCAGGGTTGGCGGCGGCGCGACGCGCGAAGCCAGAGTTCCCGACCGCGAGCCCCCCCCCCCCCCTCCCATTTTGTCGGGGGGGGCTGGCGTCGGCGGCGAGCGAGGGGGGAAGCGAGGAGGAGGAGGCCTCCTCAGGAGGTTCGGGAGGTCCCCAGCCTTCCGAGAGAAGCTTCCTCGGCGGTTCCCGAAGGCGCAGGAGACTTGTCCTTCTCACTTCCCCCCCTCGCTCGCCGCCGAACGATGAGGATTGGGTTTGGGGCAGAAGGTGTGTCGCGGCATCTGTGATGCATCCTGGGCCCTGGGCTTATTCTAGTCGTCGTCTTCCTCCTGTTGGTAAGGTTTGTTTGGGTCCGCTGCGGTTTCCGACCCTCAGAGATACTTGGGGACCCCTGCAGCCTTCCGGAGGCCCGAAAACCCTGAAGCAGCCATCAGCGTTCACACATGCAACAAAACGCGACAATAATTCATTACCAACCCTGAGACGTCGTGCGACACCTCTTGGTGATGCCGCATGGGAAGCCACTGCGTTGGACCTCCCAGGGGCTCGCGAGAGTGGCGAACATTGCGCGGCCGCCGGCGTGCAGCTGGACCTCCCAGGAGCTCACGTGCGCTGCTGCGAACATCCAGGAGAAGGCGAGGCCGAGTTTGGCAGCCCGCGGGCGAGCACCCCGCACGCAGTGCATTCGAACCGCGTGGGGGCGGCTGCCATCGCCCAGGAAGGCATGGTCCCGTCTGAATTAAGGATTGCAAAAAAACCGAAGGATTGCAAAAAAAACCCAGGATTGCAAAGGATTGCAAAAAAAAACCAGGGTTTTTTTGCAATCCACCGAAGGTTTTTTTTGCAATCCTTCACCCAGGCCCCCTCGCGTTGTGAACAAAAATCACGGTGGGAGGGTTTCGCTATTTTTTCGGCCTCCCAGGGACCCGTCCCCAGCCTTGGGCTCGTCAACAAAACGATTCGGGAGGAGAGCCCGGTCCTGTGGAAGGGGTCCAGACCTCGGGGAGTCGACGTTGTGAACAGATCACCACGTCGGGGGTTTGGGTAGGACACCACTTCAAACGACGCGAAGATCGGGACAAAATCGGATCGGGATAACTCGAAATCTCTGAGAATCGGCGGGTTTGGAGGATGTATTGGGCGCCGCGGCCGCTCCAGAGCGTTCCGGAACGCTCTGAGAGCGCTCCGGAACGCTCTGGAGCGATTTATCCCGATCCTAGCCCTGTTTTACCACTCCGCTGGACCCCCCATGGGGCCCCGTAAGACGGCACCCCGCTGGGCCTCCCACCAGCTCACAACAAGTAGCGACAAGTGCGCAGATGGCAGCACGTAGGCAGGGCGAGGTCCCACATGGGCCTCCGTGAGAACTCACCCTGCCGGACGGCGTCAGGCAACATGCAGTCCTTCCCACCGCAGCGACGAGCATTACGGTACTCACTGCTGTGTGACACGTCGTGCGCAGGGCTTCTGTGCTGGGTGCGGGGTTGACTACGGCCTCCCGTTCGTGGTAGCCACCGCGACACTGCTAACACGTAGTTTATCACTATTGACTCCGATGTCGCCGTAAAAGGTTGCCTGGACCAGGGCAGAGTAGGAGCACGCAGTGGAACAAGGAGGTGACAAGCCAGCAAACCGACGTTTTTTATCAGCCTGGGCAGACCCAGTAATGAACCATACATGCCTTCGCATCCCTGTCGAATGAGAAGGAGTCGGATGAGAAGGATGATGAGGAGGTGGGGGGAGGAAGAGGAGGAAGAGGAAGAGGAGGAAAGACAAGGAAAGAGGAAGAGGAGGAAGGCGAGCAGAAGGAACATGAGCGTGACGGAACACGTTCCCGCTCAGCTTCCCGTGAACCCCATGTAGGAGGATTGTGCCATCGCGTATCGATGCGAAACTTATACCTCCCCTGAACTCCTGGACGAACGCGAGAGAAGGAGGATGGGGAGGAGGAGGAGGAGGTATATGATGATGCTGATGCTGATGCTGATGCTGCTGATGCTGCTGATGCTGCTGATGATGATGCTGCTGCTGCTGCTGCTGCTGATGATGATGATGATGATGATGATGATGATGATGCTGATGATGATGATGATGATGATGATGATGATGATGATGATGATGATAATGATGATGGGGTAGGAAGAGGAGGAGGAGGAAGAGGAGGAGGAGGAGGAGGAGGAGGAGAAGGAGGAGGAGGAGGAGGAAGGAGGAGGAGGAGGAGGAGGAGGAGGAGGAGAGGATAAGAAGGATGCGGGATGAAGAAGGCGACGGCGGCGACGACGACGATTCAACCAGGAAGGCACTTGTGAATCTTCTGTTGTGGGAGCCTCTTGGAGACTTCTCGAAGCCATCTTGGAGCCGTCTTGGGGCCACCTTGGGGGCCTTCGAGGCCCTCTTGAGGCTCCTTGGGGGCTCTGTTGGGGCCTCTTCGGGCCCTCCGAGGGCCTCCCTGCCTGGAGGCCGTCGATCAAGGAGGGTTTTTGTGTTCATTGGCCTCGTCCCTCCGAAGAGCGGAACGCCGCCTCCGGCGGCGGCGCTCTGGGGGGCACCCGGGGCGGTCTTGGATCCTTGATGGGTTCCTCCTCCTCCTCCTCCTCCTTCTCCTCCTCCTCCTCCCCCTCCTCTGATCCTCTCCTCCTCCTCCTTATCCTCCTCCTCCTCCTCCGCCTCCTCCTCCTCCTCCTCTCTTCTTCCTCCTCCACCTCCTCCTCCTCCTCCTCTCTCCTCCTCCGCGTCATCCTCCTCCTCCTCCTCCTCCTCCTCCTCCTCCTCCTCCTCCTCCTCCTCCTGTATCCTTGATGGGCTCCTCTCGGCTCTCTCTTCGGCATTCTTGGCCCACTGGAAGCGAAAATGCGAGAGTGCCCAAATCATGGTTTCCCCGAAGGGTTTCGAAGGATTCGGGCCTCTCAGGGGCATCCTTGGGAGGTTCCGTGGCCACCTGGAGTCGCCCTGAGCCAGTCCTGAAGCCTCTCGGAGGCATGCTGCTGGAAACCTTCGTCTTGAGCCATCTTGGGGTATATTGTGCTGTCTTGGATGTCATCTTGGGCTATATGCGGCCAACTTGGAGCTGTGTTGGGCCATTTTGGACGCTCTAACTGGTCGCAGGGTGGTAGGTCCAGACCCAGAGGAGAGGGATAAACCCCTTCCCGAAGGGGAACAGAGGGGTTGGAAGTGGAAGAGGAAGCGCTCTAAACCGCCTGCGCCCAGAGGACTGGTGGGATCATAGCAGGTTTTCTGCTCCAGCCTCCGGCTGGGATCTTGGCCCTCTGGAGGCCCAGAGAGGGCCCAAGGACGCTCAGAAGCCCCCCCCCGCCCCCCGGAACAGCGTTCCACGCTCCTGCCAGGCCTGGCGCGCCGACGTTACCACGCCGTGCCGCCCTTCTTGCTGCAGGTCCATGGCGACTTCGGTGTCGGAGGGGTCGTCGTCGGGGGAGGGGGGTAAGCAAAGCACGGAAGAGCCCGAGCCCCCTCGAGGGCCAGGAGGGCAGCACCTGGCCGACGATCGAGCCGCGGGCCCCCCCATGGTCTTCGACCGGCCGGCCCCTGCCAGGGCCCACGCCGTGCCGCGCTCGACGGCAGGTCCATCGCCGCAGGACTTGTCCTGGCGCCAACATCGCAGAGCGGATGTCGTTCGGAAAACGACAGGATGGGCCCGGCGAGTCCCAGAGAATCTCGCTCTGGAGTTTTGGGCCAGGGATGAGGACCGAAGAAGATCCACGCGAAAGTCACTTCGTTTGTCGCTCGCCGCTGCGGACAAACATCCACGCAGGAATCCACGCAGAAATCCGCTGCAGCACGTCTGCAAGGCTGGTGCAAGGAGACTTGCTTCCAGGCCTCCCAGGTGAGGTCCGAGGTCCGAGCAGATTTGGTCGGGGGATCGCGCCGCATCGCCGATGCATCGGCGGTGCGGCTCGATGTGGAGCCCGATCCTCTCCGCGCCGACGGCGCCGGTGCATCGCCGACGTCGCCAATGCATCGCCGAAGCATCGCCAATGCAGCAGCGATGCATTGGCGATGCGTCGCGATCCTCCGACCCCATATTTCCAGCACCACCATTTTATATTAAATATGTAAAGCATAGTTCTTGCACCATTAAAAGCATGGCTCTTGCTCAGTTAAGAGCACGGCTCCTGCACCGTGAGTTGCACCTACGAGCCCCGTTTGTCAACATCTACTCGGGCCCCATCCAGCAGGCCTCCATGTCGACAGGTGTTCACGCAGGCGCGCCTTCGTGGCGCGCCCTGTGGCCGCCGAGGCTCGGCATTTGTCTCGAGCCAGGCGGAGGGAAACAGCTCCGCAGCCCCAGACATGGCGACGCCTTCCTCCTCCTCCTCCTCCTCCTCCTCCTCCTCCTCCTCCTCCTCCTCCTCCTCCTCCCCTCCTCCTCCTCCTCCTCCTCCTCCTCCTCCTCCTCCTCCTCCTCCTCCTCCTCCTCCTCCTCCTCCTCCTCCGGTTTGCATCCCGGGCCGCTTTTTGACGGCCCCGGGGCCCAGCGAGGGTCAGCGCGGAGGCCGAACACTGCCACAGGCCGTCCGTCGTGCCTTGGTTCACGGCGCGAGGGGGGGCCTGGGGAGCCACGACGAGTCGAGCAGCTGCGCAGCCACAGCGCAAGAGCTCGCTGGCCTCGCCGTGGCCCGCCGGCCGGGCCGGGGCCGCCAGGCAGCCAGCGACCGGTGGTGGCTGCGCGCCGAGATGCTGGTGGTCGGTGCGGCCGCCGTGGCAGGGCGCCCGCGCGGCGTCGTCGTCGTCGTCGTCGTCGTCGTCGTCGTCGTCGTCGTCGTCGTCGTCGTCGTCGTCGTCGTCGTCGTCGTCGTCAGGCAGGGCTGCCAGGAGGAGAGGTGGCGCCTAGGCGCCGAGGCGAGCTGAGCTGCGCGCGCGCCCACTGCACCCGCGTGGCTCGGCCTCGTGTGACCGCGGTGGGCGGCCCGCGAGGCACCGTCCAAGAACGTCCAACAACGTCGTCGTCGTCGTCGTCGTCGTCGTCGTCGTCGTCGTCGTCGTCGTCGTCGTCGTCGTCGTCGTCGCGTGGCGTGGCCGAGGGGGGGCAATTGGTCAGGGGCAACGTTAGACTATGAGGGGGGTCTGAGGTTCGAGGCTTGAGGTTTTCGGATGTTTTCGTCGGTTCCTGGCGGCTTTCCAGCCCTCTGGGTGCCTTCCAGCGGCTGCGCTTCGCCGAGAGCGTTCCGGGGCTGCCCAGATCGTCCCGAACGGACGCTGGAGCCCCGAGTGCTGACCCGAAAATCGGACGACGAGGATCACCAGGGGAGGGGGGGACAAGCCCAGTCGAGCAGCCCTGGCTTGCCTATGGGCCCACCAGAGAATGTTCTGAGAACCTCTTGTGCTCTGCACGGAAGAGATGTTCGGCTGAGCCTGTCTCGTTCGAACACATCGGGCTTATGCTATAAGGACATTGTTTTTGGTTGTTGAAATATTTTTCGGCTACGAGGAAATTTGGTGGCAGGGCTGTAGGACTGCCGGGAAGGTTGGTCCCTGCTCTAAGGGGGGGATGTGTCGACCCCCGGTCGTCCCCTGGTGATCGCCGCGAGGGGCCCGACAGCCACACTGCGCCCAGGACCGTGTGGAGTCGCTGTCTGGAGAGGGAGGAGAGGGAGGAGAGGGAGGAGGGGGAGGATGGGAGGAGATGGAGGAGAGGGAGGAGATGGAGTAAGCGGGGGAGGAGGGGGAGGTGAAGGTGGGATGGGTTAGGAGGAGATGTGAGAGGAGGTGGGGGATTAGTAGGGAGTGAGAGGAGGAGGAGTGAGGGAGTGGGGGAGAAGGGAGGAGGATGAAGGAGGAGGAGGTGATGAGGAGTCATGTGGGAATATCGTGAGGAGGAGAGGGCGGAAAGGGAGGAGAGGGAGGAGGAGCTCGCATGCGATAGAACTTCCGTGCTGAAGCGCACCTTTGTTTTCGGCACGGGTTGCTCCTAGGATTTCTAGAGGGGGTCGGAGTAGATGGGGTCGGAGGATCGCGCCGCATCGCCGATGCATCGACGATGCGGCTCGATGTGCAGCCCGATTTGCTTCACACTGACGTTGCCGATGCATCGCCGACGTCGACGATGCATCGCTGGTGCATCGCCGATGCATCGCTTGTTAAAAACAGGGTGCGAGTCCCGAGAGGAGCACTGTGATTGAAAAATGCAGTGGTTACCGGGCAGGGGGTATCAACAACAATTAATATTTAGAAATGGGAGTTCGACAACAACAACCACCACCACCAACAACAACAACGACATCAACAACAACACGCACACCACCAAGCATTTTAAGGCTGCTCGCTCTTATCTGCTCGCGGGCCATTCAACACGTATATCCTAAACCCTCGATGCCCGCCCTCTTCGTCTTCGATCGTACCACGTTGGGGATACATATTTCACTTACCTGCAACTTGTATTCTGTGCAGCCAGGGATGAGGGCGGGGGAGGAGGATGGAGCACGAGGGAGAGTGGCAGGAGGGGCAGAAAACACGTGGCAGAGCCAGACGGGCAGATCGGGCGGGTAAATTCTAACAGGCGGGTCGGGAAAGCGGGCCCAGGCGGCCAGGTCAAGCAGGCGGGTTGCTGAAGCATGCGTCCTGCATGAATCGCGAGGAAATCTCAAGCGATAGCGCGATTTTTAAGTAAATCGAGAAATTGGCCAAAGCGAGAGCGAGAGGGCGCGGCGTCTGAATAAATTGAGGAAGTCCCGCGCGAGAGCGCGATTTGGGAATACATTGTCAGGAAGTATCAGGCGGGAGCCGCTGTTGTTGTAAACTGGGGGCCAGGGGGGCAGTTTGGTGAGATATCGTTTTCCAATGAAAAAGGTGTGCGAGCCCGGGGAGATTTAATTGAAAAATGAACCAGTTACGGGGGAGGGGGGATCAACAGCCACTATTCTTTAGAAATGAGAACTCAACGGCGACAGCAGCACCAACAACAAGAATACTCCGCGAAGCGGAATCATTCTCAGCCACGCTCGCAGGGACAGTGAATGACCGTTGGGCCCCCGTACTCTGATGTAGAAGATTGCCGAGAACGTTGGGTGGCGAAGTGCAGTGGGCGCTTCGGAACGGCGCAGTAAACACATGGAGAAGGCGGCAGCATGCTCCAGTTCGGTCCGAACGATCCGAATCGATACCGGCTCCGGCTGGCTCGCTCCGGCCCGATGCCGACACTCGGACGATCCGACGTGGCCCGATGTTCGCATCGCGTCGTCCCCGAGGCAGCTCCATCCGACACACACACACACACTCCGATACGATGAGATGCACCGGCCCGGTGCGGAGTGGTGGCCCTGGGAGCGGCGGCCCGGCTCCCCTCCGGAGGTGCAGCGTGTTCTTCTCGCGGCCGGCCTTCTGCACGACGGAGGCGCCTCCGCCGCCGCTTCTGCTGCGCGGCCGCGGGCCGTCGTATCCGTCGCCCTCCGTCTCCACAGCCAG